TTGTTGTTGTTGTTGTTGCTGTTGTTGTTATTGTTGTTGTTGTTGTTGTTGTTGTTGTTGTTGTTGTTGTTGTTGTTGTTGTTGCTGTTGTTGTTGTGGTTGCTGGTGTTCATGTCAGTGCCAGTGATGGTGGAGGCGGCGTTGTCTCAAAAAGTAGTTGGATAAAGCAAAGATTTCAACCGGTGCCTCTTTCAAAGCCTTCAACACCGAAGCGGAACCCCCATTTTTCTAACCATCCTCTCGACCAAAGCAGCAGCCAGCGCCCAGCGTCGTCCCTCTCTTTTCTCAACACCGTCCCTCCCCGTTCCGCCCACAGATGTACACCCTTCTGTTCGAGGCCATGATGCTGCCGAGGTTCGGGCTGTTCGAGAACTGCGACCCCCCCCCCCCGCCAACCGCGGAGCCCCTCGGCCGGCGGCCTGCCAAGGACCCTACCGAGAAGTCCTTCGCCCCGCGGTTCAGCGGCGCTGTCGCCGGCGCCGCGGCTAACGGAGCGGCAAGTGTTGTTGACGACCCCGATGACGCTAGCAGGTTCGGCGCCTACTTGGAGCCGATATCCGGGAGCGCCGAGGAGCACGCGGAGGAGGAGGAGGAGGTTGATGATGCAGGCAGTGATGATGACGGCGATGACTTTGAGGCTCGGCGAGAGGCGGAGCGATCGGTGGTGGAGGGGGCCGCCGCCTCAGGCGCGGGAGGCGGGGAAGGGAGGACGGTGTCGGTGTCGAAGATGCTGCCGACCGCGAGGCCGGGCGGCTACTCGGACGCCCAGCTCGGGAGGTGAGAGGGACGGGGTGGATGGATGTCGGTCCGTTGGCTAGAATCGAGCATCAAACTTCGGTGGCGACCCGTTCGTCGTAAGCGTCGTGGTCGATGTGTCGGGACTTTTTTGTTTTGTGGGGACGCGTCGGCAGAGATTTATGTCGGGTGCTGCAGGAGGGGATGAATGGGGGGCGGGCGGGGGGTATAGGGGTGGTCAGGTGTAGGCCGGCTTCTTCCGCATGTACTTTTTTATTGTCACTCTTCGTGTCCAACCATGGACAAATCCAACGACGCTTGACCACCTTGCGCTCAGGCGAGCGTGCTTGTCCTGCCTTTGCGGACCATGTCGTTTCGTGCGTTGGGGGTGGCGGGAACCAGGTACCGGGCCATCGGTAGACTGATGGTCAAGTGCTTACTCGAGGGCAGGAGGATCGGCAGCCGCCTGGCGCCGAGCGTGTTCAAGTTCATCACTGGGACGGACACGACGCTGCGGGACCTCCAGGTTGTGTGTGAGGAGGGGAGGGGGGGACGTTCCGGATGTATCCCCGGGTTTCCCACGTAGTTGTAATGTGCCGCGTGTTTTGACTGCTACTGCCGCTCCAGTGTAAGTAATCTTGGCTAGAGTGGCTCTCACTTCCTGGTAGCCTGACGATCCCCACCCTCCGCTCGTCGTCCTTGTAGATAGCAGGAGTCACCTTATGAGTTGTCTTCGGTGTGGACACGTTCCTCCATGTTTCCTCCTGTAGTAACACTTACTTACTCTACCTCCCCCCCCCTCCGCAACCGCGGGGGTATGAACATACACAGGACTTCGACTCTCAGAGTTTTGAGAGCCTCAAGTGGATGCTGGCCAACACCGGCATGCGAGACATGGGCTTCGACTTTGAAGACGTTGGTCTTCCTGACAAGGTACGTTTTACCCCCCCCCGTTGCCTGGCCGCCTCATACCCGTGACACTGCTGAAAACACGCATACTCAAGTAGTTCTATAGGGTTCAACGGCCACATCAGCACATTTCCCCTAAAGCTCTCTCCCTCTCTGTTTTCTGCTTTCCTCTTTCTCTCTCTTTCCCCACCATATCTCACTCTGTCGGCCTATCTGCCTGCCTTCCTGCCTGTGTCTCGCTCTCCCTCTATCTCCCGGTCTCTTTCTCCTTCACTCTCTCTCCTCCCCCCTCCCCCCCTTTCACCTCTATCCCTTCCACAGGGTCCCGTCACGGACGGCAACAAGGCGGAGTACGTGTCGGCCAAGGCCCGCCTCATCCTCGTCGGGTCGAGAAGGCCTGCCCTAGAGGCACTCAAGGCGGGGTTCGCCGAGGCTCTCCGAGACCTCTCCCCGGGGGCAGCGCTCTTCCTCGAGTTGCTTTCGCACGCTGATTGGAGGGTCTTGCTGTGCGGGGAGGAGCACGTCAGTGGACCGCAGGTTGGTGGTGTTCAGGGATAGGAGAGTAACTTGGACAGGATGGATAGATAGATATAATAGCACGAATCATGTGTTGATTTGCCTCAGGTTTTTGGTTGGCCGTTGACCACGCTTGCATCGATATCATTCCGAGATGATTCACCAAAGGTTCCTACTTGAGCTGAAAAGTCACACCGCACGCATCCCGATAAGGCGGGGGGGAGCGGTCCATGCAGGCGCCCCTCGATTTCGTCAAAATTGCGGCCGCTTCTTTTCTTCCTCTGCTGTATTGTGTTCCTCTGCTGTCTGCTGACAACCCATCCAACCCAAATGTCCCCCCCCCTCAAAGGGTTTTCGTCGCTTGGCAACGACGTTGTAAAACAAGCCGCCCCTCCCGGTGTTTGCCATCGGGGTTGGGTTTTCGTCGCTTGGCAACGACGTTGTAAAACAAGCC